TGTGCAGGGTTTGATATTGGAAATAGAAATGTGCTGACAACTGTTTCCTAATAGATGTTTAAATATGAAGAAATGACCTCCCTCCTGCCATGACAGCTTGTAGGAATTACTGTTTTCCTTTTGGTGTCATTCCACCCTCTGAGCATCAGTACAAGGGGTGGCTTATCTTTGTTAATCAGAGTATGAACAACTCATGGCACATGTGAGTCTGAGCTTCCAGGCTGATGAATTTTATCCTGGGCTGACAAGATAATTTAATGCTACCAAAGTGGTAGGTGTGGTGGTAGGAGAGGAAGGGTGATTCAGGATTAATGCATCAGCCTGGAAACCCGAAGGTCAAGCTCATCTCTGCTCTTTTTCCTTGGTTTAACATCATTGCCCTTGTTTCCCAGCTGGAAAATGCAGCCCTTGCCCTTCCTTGTGGGAATGGATAAGCAAGCAGGGAACAGATAAAAAAATTACACAGTTTTCTGATGCTGGCAGTAACAGAAGCTGGGAGAGCTGAGAGCTTCCTTTGAAATGCTGGGAAAAAACACATCACGAAGGTTTGATGGTGAAGTTTGACCTCCCCGGCCCGGTGAGGAAATGAGCAATCCCGTTAGAACAGAGATCTCCGAGGCTGAATCAGACAGGGAAGTGACTTGCACGGGAAGCCTCTGTCAGCGGTGAGAGGGGGATGCTGTGATGGAGCAGGAGTGTGGCTGTGCCCAGCAGGGGCTGGGGGCTCCAAGGCTCCCTGCAGCTCTGTGTGGCTCCCCGGGTTCGGGGAGGAGGCTCAGGCCCTGTCTCACAGCTGCACTGAGCTGCTGAGTCGTTCCTGGGCTGAACAAGCCGTGGCTCAAGGACCTGCCCTGGGGTCCCTGTGGGGCTTTGGCAGGGAGGGTGGGGACACTGGGAGGTGGATGTGCTCTTACTGGGAGAGCTGGGAGTGGTTCTGTGCATCACCTCACCAAGAGAAATGTGATGCTCAGTAACCACTAAGCTGCTCTTCCCCCCAGGTCTGGCTGCTCTCTGGGCAAAGCATCCCTTGCCCGCCCCAGCCCTGTGTCCTTCGTCTGTGGGTCAGAGGCTTTTCCAGGAACTCCTGTCATCTTCTGTTTGTAAACCGGGAAAGGGAGCAGAAGGATGTCCTGGCTCCTCTGCTACAGCAGCACTCTGGGAAGGGAGAGGCACTTTCAATGTGATGAAAGGCACTGGTTGGCCACACTTCCCAACCCCACCTGCTCCAGGTGCCTCAGAGCTCCACATGGGGCTGATAGTGAACAAACCAGGAGAATTCCACGATAGATAAGGCAAGACAACCATTTCCTCCTGCCCAGTGCAGTGTTCCACTGCTCAGGTGACTGCTGTGGCACGTGGCAGGGGCTGAGCTGGTGGGAAGGGTGAGTTTGAGAGGGCAGACAAGGTGACACCACTGCAGGATCAGTGGGGACACTGCCCTGGGTCAGCAATGCCAGTGGAAGGACTAAAGCCAAAGTCTATGACAGACCCTGGGCAGCAGCTCAACAGCGTCCTATGGATGGCTGTAGCACAGGCTTTGGGACCTGGAGCTGCTCCCTGACTCAATGGTCAAGCAAAGGATTTAATATTTTATTTTAAATTAAAATTTTAAATTCAAATGGTCAGCATACTTTTTATTTTTTAAGGATGGGGGAAAACTCTCAAACCCAAAACAGTTGGTCTTTGTTTGCCCCTGAGGTGAGGACACTGCAGCAGCTGCACCTCTTTATGAGGCAGAGACACCCATCTGAGGAGAAAATAATGGTCCTGGGTAGGAATTGCCTCAGCAGCTTTGGGAAGCACTCAGAATTAGTTTGTGGTTCCTGGGGCTCTGTGAAACATTCATTAAAGCTCAGGGGCAGGTGCAAAGACCCATGACCAAGAGAAATTGAAGCTGAGTTGCTCCTTCAAGCTTGCCAGCTGGTTTATCTACCGATCCTTGTGCCTGTTCAGTTTAATCCTGAAGGTACTGAAGCCTCTCCTGGTTTTCTTTTTTTGGCCAGTTGCAAGTAGCAGCAGGTAATTATGGCCCAGTGGAAAAATCCTATTAACAAAAATAATCTTTCCTCGCAGTTCCCCTGAGGTAAGAACACATCTGACCATTTGGTGATGTAGTCAGGGATGCACCGTCGGCTTTTCAGGGAAGGCATTTCCTCATCTGGGAGGAGTCACCTCAAATGGGAAGAGAAACCCTGTTCTGAGGGGAAGAAAAAAGACCAAACAAAAACAAAAACAAACAAAAAAAAAGGGTGTGTTCCCTGGGAAGAGCTTGGCTCCATCCAGTCTACGGACCCTCCTTACCTCAGAGGAAAAGATATTTATAGTTTGGGAGTCAATGCTGGGATGGACTCATCTGCCTTTGCCTCTCCATGGTGCAGGGATTACCTGAAAGCAAGAGCCAGTGCAGGTGGAGGGGGGATGAACTGGGTGACAGAGTCCCTTGGGAGGCAATCCTGAAGGGCAAAGGAGTCCAGGAAGGCTGGATGTGTTTTAAGAATGAATTTTAAAGGTGCAGGAGCAGCCAAGGAAGTACACGAGCCTGGCTGAACAGGGAGCTTTGGCTGGAAAACTCAGGTCAAAAAGGAGAGTGTATGACCTGCAGAAGAAAGGGAGGTAAGTCAGGAGGACTACAAGGATGTGGTGAGGTTATGCGGAGCTAAAGCTTGACTAGAACTTAATCTGGCTACTCCATAAAAGCAAAAAAAAAAAGTTTCTATAAATACATCAGCAACAACAGGAGGGCTGAAGAGAGTCTCCATCCTTTACTGGATGCAGAAGGAAACCAAGTGACAGAGGGAAAAGCTGAGGTACTTAATGACCTTTTAGCCTCAGTCTATAATAGCAAGACCAGTTGTTCTCTGGGTATCAGCCTCCTGAGCTGGAAGAGAGGGATGGGGAGCAGAATGAAGCCCCCAGAGTCCAAGGGGAAATGGTCAGTGAGCTGCTATAGCACTTATACACACACAGGTCCAGGGGACTGATAGGATCCACCCAAGGTTGCTGTGGGAGCTGGAGCCACTTTCCATCATTTACCAGCAATCTTGGCTCAGCAGGGAGGTCCCAATTGGCAATTGTGACAGTCATCTACAGGAAGGGCCAGAAGGAGGATCCGTGGAACTACAGGCCTGTCAGCCTGACCTCGGTGCCAGGAAAGGTCAAGGAGCAGATCACCCTAAGTGCCATCGTACAGCATGTGCAGGACAAGCAGGGGATCAGGCCCAGCCAGCCTGGGTTTGGGACAGGCAGGTCCTGCCTGACCAAGCTGATCTCCTGCTATCACAAGGTGACCTGCTTGGTGGATGAGGGAAAGGCTGGGGATGTGTCTACCTGGACTTCAGCAAAGCCTTTGATACTGCCTCCCATGGAATTCTCTGGCAGCCCATGGCTTAGAGAGGTGCACTCTTTGCTGGGTTAAGAATTGTCTGGATGGGGATGGTGGTGACTGGTGCCACATCCAGTTGGTGTCTGGTCTCTAGTCGTGTCCCCCAGAGATCAGTGTTAGGGCCAGCCCTGTTCAGTATCTTTATAGATGATCTGGGCAAGGGGATCAAGTGCACCCTCAGTGAGGTCACAGAGCACACTAAGTTGGGCAGGAGTGCTGATCTGCTGGAGGGGAGGAAGGTGGATCTGGACAGGCTGGATCAATGGGATGCTCCTCTCCCTGGGCTGAGCAGTCACCGCCCTGCCTTCCTGCTCCAAAGCCCTGCCCCTGTAGCTCCACACCACAGGAGCACGTTAAGCTGTGCTGCCCTGGGCTCCTGCTCTGCCAGGAATGACAACAACCACACAGCCAGCTGAAGAATGGGTGGGAGTTGTAGCTTGGTGGGCTCAGTCACACAACACTTTGAGCTTCTTCAGGAGGGCCGGAATGGGCTCTCTGCTGAGGCACAAACAGGACTGAAAACTTGCTGGGCTAAAACTACCACGTGCCTTCAGCCTCCTGCCTTCCCTGACCCGTTTGTGGATAACACTTTCTGAAGTTGTTTATTTTTACAGGAGGCCCCAAATTTAGCGTGTGTGTATCAAACAAGCTCAGGAGTCAAAACACCAAAAGCTTCTTCCCAAAGCTGCAGCCACTTGAAAGGCTGCAGTCACTGGGCAGCTGAGTGAGGCTTTACCTTCAGCACAGGTGAGGCTCTGTAACCTGGTTTAAGTTTCATTACAGATTGAGCCAAGTTAAATTCTCTCTCTCTGGCTCCAGGCTGGAGCTGGACACAATTACAAGAGGCCACCTGCCCTGACCTGGTTGAGACATGTACTTGAGCCCTGAGGCAGCCCTGGAAAGCTCAGAGACAGACTGCTACACCTGCTGATGCTTTTTGGATACCACCATCCAACCTCAGGGATAAAAAAGTGGCTCAAGCAAATGGGAAATAATTTTTTTTCCTAGAGCGATTTCTATTCTGTCTCTTATGATACCTGATACTTGGACAAATGTTCAACACCTGTATACTTATAAAGAAATCCTTCTTCAAAGTCAGAAAGGCAGCAAACACAGATACACCTGCTCAGAAGGGAGGGATAAGAATATTCTCCAACAGGGAACTTTGACCTGTGCAACAAGAAAGACTTCAACATTCAGCAGGATCCAACTCTCGTATGGTAACAGCCTTGGAAACAAAGATGTGCTCCTCTTCTTTCACATATATGACATTCCTCTTGGAAAAGCCATTTTAATAATGCAAACATTGTGAGATAGGGGCTTTTTTCTAAGTCAAACACTGTTCAGGATGAACTTCATTCCTGCAAGGACCCTGGTCACAGCTCCAGCTGCCCAGCAGCGAGAATGCACATCTCTTGTTAGACACAATCCTTTTTTTTTGTTGTTGTCCCCTCCCCTCCCTGTTGTCCCAGGGTTGAGCTCTGGCTCACACACATCCACAGTTACAAAAAGAAAGGTTATTAAGGTTATTAAATTGGTATTAGTCATTAAGTCACCTCCCTCCTCCAAGAAGGATTCACTCTATGGAGTGACAAGAACCAAAACGCCACCTCCCATCAGCAATCATTTCATTGGGTTTATCCCAGTTTAATGGATGATTTATCAGATTTGTGCAAGACAGTTACCTCTAACACAAAGGGAAAAAAGTAATATCACAGCAACATATACACACAAAACAAGATACACAAAATAGAGCTAAATTTATATACAGGTTATTAGCAGCTAGACTTAACTTCATTTAGTACATGGCTTTACTTACTACAGTTTTAGGCACAGAGAAGAATTTATCAGTAGGATATTTGCTATAATGAAGGGCCACAATGAATACCTCGTTCCAAGTCCTCCCTGGGCAGAAACTGCTTTACCTAATGAAGATCTAACTCTCACTTCCCACCAGTTGAGGACACAGCCCTGCACAAAGGATGAAAGAACATGATCCAGCTAATTCAGCATAGGCAGCTTTGTAATTTAGATATTAAACACCTAATTTGTTTTTTTTTTAAATAGGGTTACATTACAGAGTTATTGAACTGGACTGCATTTCAATGAAGTAGTGTCAGGGTTCCCCCTCCACCCCCTGTCTGCTCAGCATGGACTCCCAGCTGTAAACAACTCAAAGAGGAGCTGGCGAGGAATGATTAGATGTGAAGATTGCTTTGTACGCACTTCACATCCATAATGAAGAATTTGCTTTACCAGGACTGAAAAGCACAAAGGTCATGAAACATTTAAATTTACTTAGCAGGTTATGTTAATAAATTATGATTCATCATCCACATGTAGGACTCCATGCCAGCCTGCAGTGAAGCGCGTGCTTGGATGTATTTTATGCGCTCCCCTGTCCTTCTGATTTAGGACTAGAGACTCAGAGCCCAGCAGAACAAGCATGTGCTGTGCTCACAGCATACAAGCAGCCTTTTTTGTTCCAGCAGCACGGCTCACGTTCGGTTATGCACGCCTAAGTGCTCTGCCAGCCCAGGAATGGCCACATATTTTAATTACTGATTGCTTATGTATAGTAAGCCTCTCTCAGTGAGGAACACGATCACTTCCCCAGTGAAAAGGCTGAAAAGAATAACTGCATAACAGAACCAGCCAGATACCGTAACAACACGATTAAAAATTAAAGCAGCGAGCAGATAATTAAAAAAAAACAAACACAAAAAGGCAAAAAAACACCAACTTATGAGGCAGGTTGAGAATAACACAAAGGTTTTTCCTTCACGACAGCTTCATTTACAAGTAAAGCTTAGCAAGTTTGAAATACTTTATCACAAGAACTCCAAACTTGTTTATCACAGTTATGGCAGAGCTCCTGATGAAAGGGTGTGTCGGTTTCTGCTATAGCCACTCCCCTCCTCTTCTCCAAGGTTTATTGCTCAGCTCCTTGGGAAAAGGACTGGGTTGCTTGAGGCTTAAAAAGTGCAGAGAATAAGTCAGCTTTTCCCTTTAGAAAACAAGCAAACACCAAAAACTCAAACATCGAGGAATAACAACAAAAAAACTGAGAGGGTTTGGAGTTTGGCATTTGATTTTGAAGTGGCTATTCTGGATGTTTTCAGGTATACAAAAAGGGAAGGAGTTTTAACATGGAAGAGCAGCTTTCCATATTAAAAAAAAAATAAAATCATACCAACACACAAATATCTTTTGAGACCATCTTTAAAACCATGTCTGTTGAACAAAGGCAAAATACCATCAACTTGGACCATTCAGGAATGACGTGCTCTTAGACACAGCCCTCCTGTAACTCCACTTAACCAACCTGCACGAATTTTGGCTGTAACTTGTTATGGATTGGCAGGGCAGAATCAAATAAGGCTGTGAACAAAGGATTCTGACTAGAGGAAGATCACATGACAGTTTTAGAAGTAAAAGAACTTACAATTACTCAGTGTAGTACAGCTACTGTTCAAAAAGTAACAGTTCCTTCCCAGAACTCCAACGTAAAAGACAAGACTTTTGACATCAGGGTCTTGCATTTGGTACAAAGTTAACTTGTTCCTATGGCTTCTCTGCTGTGAGACCATCCCTGGTACAGAACAGTTGGGGTCACAGATTGTCAGGAGACTCTTTGGCTGTCAGTGTGAAAACCGGTGCATATCCTTGAGGCTTTTCTGGAGCCTTTCACTGGACACATGGGTTGGTCGAGCATGACCAAGAAGCAGGTGGCTGGGAAGAAAGGCAAGACTTCAGGGGCAGCAGCAGAGTAGTGCAGTCACCCATTCAGAGCTTGGGCTGCTCTGTCCAGGAGAAGGTCAAAGCAGAAGCCACCCTGTGCACAGTCTGGAGGGAAGCGCACGCAGAGCGAGGGAGCAGAAGACTCCACCACTGGGAGGGAACGAAGCCAAGCCAGATAAGACAGACAACAAAAAAAAGTCATGGAAGGGTGTCACGCTGCTCAGAAATTTCAGCTTGGACATTATCTCGAGCTCCCACAGACAGACAGACAGACAGACACGTGGGCAAGACAAACGGAGCTCTTGGTTTTGGCTTCAGAAAGAGCAGAAGGAAGAGTCGCCGCTCAGTTCGCTATGTACAACAATACTGCACTGTACACTTCATTAACGAGATGCTGCCTGACACAGTCCAGCATTAATTAAATAAAATTCCTCTTAGTCACAAAGAGCAACAGCTCAGTATCTCTGTAGGAAGGAGAGCCAGATCCCACTGCTGTACATGACCATACGTGGCGCCAGTCCCGGGATGAACACGAGTGGTCATTCCACAGTGTCTGGTACCTCCCCAGCTTGCCTGAAACAGAGAACTTTCCCTTTTTTCTTCCAATCCATCTGGTCCCAATTCTGTTGGGACTATTCCAGCACTAAGCCATGCCATGACTTCCCTCCCACTGCCACAACATTCCCATCCACGTTACGCCGTCTCTTTCAGTAGCCCCAGTTTCCGAAGGGCCTCTCTCCGAGCTTCTTCTGTTGAGCCACGGCCAGAAAACTTCACCGTTATCCCTTGGGATCGAAATCCTGAAGGTCTAGGCAGCGATCCTGATCTCCTCCTCATGTCCAGGCTTACAGCAGGCTGTTTGTAATCATGACAGCTTTTCTCTGTGTTCTGCTGTGCGCTGATGACCTTGTTAGTGGCAAGAGCGACCTCTGGTTTGATTGTTACAGTTTTGCCCATAGGAAGGAAAGGGCTGGGCTCGCTTTTTAAAGCCTCATGGATGTTTTTATATCCATTGGTAACCGCATCTGCCTGTTTGGGCTGCACATCAACCTGCTGAGTGCTTGGGGCATGGTCCACTTGGTCCTGAGCTGGCTTTCCCTTAACTAGGCCGAGTTTCGTCAGGGCCTCGTATCGTGTTTGCTCGGAAGAGAGATCCCGTAAGGAAGAACTTCTGTTACGTGACAAGAAATCACTTTTGTGCAGCTTCTCCTCCAGCTCAGCTGCCAGCAAAGCTCCTCCATTGATGTTGGCCAGCACCTGGGCTCGCCGCTCCTGGACGTTCACGGCGGCTTTGGAAATCGTCTCGTTGAACTCTTTGCCACTGACATTCGTTATGTTGATGTTGCTGGGGAACCGGTGCAGTTTGGGTGCAGGGGCAGGAGGGTGTTTTGGTGCCACGAAATGATCCCCATTGGCCACCGGGGTTTTCTTCCTGTCCGAATTCCCGTCCTTGAGGGCGCCGGGGAAGCGCGCCCTGCTCTCCGCCTGCTGCTCACACATCTGCTGGGCCATGATGAGGGGAGTGGGCACAGAGCGGAGCAATTTTGGGTGCTGCACTGGAGGAGGGGGTGGAGGAGGAAGAGGAAGTGCCTCAGACACTGGTGGTAGAGCAGGGGGATACGGGGGAAGGTCAGCAGGTACAGCTGGCTTGGGGCTCTCGGCTCTCCAGGGAGCATCCAACACTAAAAACACAAAGCACCAATGATGCCATTAAGTCTTCACACACAGCAGAATGCAAGGCTTCCTTTCAGCATCATTTCTCCCCTCCCCCAGAAACTTTCCAACTCAAACTCAGCCCACATTGCCAGAAGAAACAATAACTGAGCCAGCAATGGCATCTTGTAGGCAACACTATAGGCCAGGTCACCACACTTACAATGCAGTCACTGGCAGCCCTCTTTCTGCCTGTCATTCACACTCTGCACGTTGCTTCACTGGGTTTCAATGGCTGCTCTTCTGCAAGAATTTTGCAGCTCTTATTTTTTATCACAAGAGCCAGGAGAGGACGCATTACATCCCACTGGATGTACTGGCTGATACAGCATCTTGGTGCAAACTTATTTGATAGGATTGCCTGCCTTTCAGTCCCACACAAAGTAACACTGCAAACAATCTGCCACCTTAAAACCCTTAGAGAAAGTCTTAAGAGGTCTTAGAGAAAAGCAGAGCATGAACAGACAGAATACTGTTTGCCTTGCTGCAATGACTGTGCACAACAGTGACAACTCAGTCACCAGGCAGAGGACTGAGATCACAGTCCAAAAACTTCATTATATGTGTGACCTCCATGAGAGAAAAGGAAAAATGGAAAAAAAATAAAATGTTATACAACAGCAAGAATTTCAGAAACCCCAGGGCAAATGAAAATCACAGTCCTTAGAGCTCCTGAGGTGCAACAAAGTCATCCCGGGGTAGTAAGGAAGGTACAGAATTACTTTAGCTCTTTCCAATGAGAACTGGAATAGGTCAGGGATAGATCAAAGGGAAACCCACCCTTGCAAGAAATACAACTACCTGGCTCTGTATCTCTGCTAGAAGGGCCTTCATGGTCACTACTCTCAGGTGTTGACTGCACTAAGTCGATGATATCTTCAGTCTCTGAGTGACTGGACACGTTTTCTTCTGTCGACCTTGGAGACTGGCAGTGGATGCCACTGTCACGTAGAGCCATCTCCTCCAAGTCATCTTCTAAGGCATCTATGGTTTCCTCAAAGAACATAAGAACATCCTGTTCCTCGTGAGTTAAGTATTTCAGGCTCTCATCATCCTATGGGGGGAAAAAAGAAGAAAAAAACCCAGAAAGATTAATGCCTTCCCAAAGAGGCATCGAGGCACTACAATGCAAGAGGACAAAAAAAAATATTAAAAAACCAAAAGAGCAGCAACTGGTATTATGCCCTTTAAAATACCCAACCAGTTTTGTGTCAGATTCAGGGACAAGGCTTGGGGAGCAGCACTGGGGGGGAAAGGGTACACTCAGGACAGTCCAACAAATGGGCTGATTCCCATTTTGACGTAGTCCAAAATGGGATTGGCTTCTAGAGGCAGAGCTGGAGCTGAGAAGTGCCTCTACCACTACACACCATGAGTTACCCAGAGTTATGTGGTAGATTACAAAGAAGTAATAGTAAGGAGGGAGAGGGTTTCTAAAGAAATCCTTTGAGTTATAGAAAGGAAAAATTAAGACTAAATATGAGGATGTGCTCCATGTGCTCCCTGGAAGTACAGTGCCTTGGGCTATTTTCTTTAGCAGGAAACGATCCTGTAGACCACAGAAGTGAGAAATAATCACCTGGATTATCCAGTCTTCATCTTCTCTGAGTCACTGCTCTTGATTAACTTGATTAACACAGTATCACTATGAGAAGCTGGGCAGCAGTGCCCTAACTCTTTTCCCTCCACCCTGGGAAACACTCACTTTTCCAGAAGCTTGGAGATGACAAAGAATGATTAAGAAAGGCACTACATTAAGACAATGGATACAGGAAAGACATTTCCCAAGAGAACTGTGTAAGTTCTGGAATGCAAGTAAGTATTGTTGAAATGTAAGTGAGGTTTTCCCTTTTCTGGACTGAATTTCCCCCCTGCCAGGCATATACTGGAAACTTTGCCCTCAGTAACTTCACAAGAAGCACCAGCAAAGCAATACAAGACTTTGTATCCTTTCTCATCTCTACTTTTCAATTCTCCAAGGACACCTGATTCATGTGCAGGCAAGGTAAAAAGGCTACTTCTCAATGGAGGGCTAGGAGAATTTAGGTAAATACATAAAGGTATGCAGTACAAATATCCAAGAGGAGCCATGTTCTTGCTAGGGCAGCACAACTTGCTTCAAACTCACCAGGCCTGTTCAGATCATCTTACAGTAGATTAGACTAAAAAAACCTGAGTGCAGCTCTACCTGTTAACTCCCTGCACAAACAAAGCTTTTATCCCCATCCTCAGCATTAAAAATAACAACAACGTACCTCTGTAGGAAAGTAACGCCTGTAGAAGAACTATAACGTGCTGCATTGTACCAAAATTGGTACCAAAACTGCAGCAAAACTGCTACAAAAGCTAGAATTTGGATGCCCTTTGCCAATGCCTATTTAAAGGGGATGAACTTCAAAGGCTGACGTATTCCACAGCTCGCACCCACCACATGTCAGAGCTTTCAAAGGCCAAGGAAAGTTTTACAGCTGCACTTGAAAAGCAAGAGACAGACAAGCCTTCCTTTTTTTCTTTTTTTTTTTTTTCCCCTTAATGGATGTTGCAATCTCCTTCCTTCCCCACCCAAATACTCATAGGGCTGCTATGTCTAGTAGGCGAGAGAATGACAGGAAAGGAGCCCTTGTTAGGTAGGCCCGAGCTGGAGCTGAACAGGACTCCAAGAACCTTTTGTGGAGGGTGAGCTCATTGCAAGAGCCAGACTTCCACAGGCAAAGGAAAGAACGAGGGGGTTATGTTTAAGAAATTCTCAGTGGCAGCAGATCCAGAGCATGGCACAGTACAGGAATTACTGCACCACACTGTGCATTTAAAAAAACTGTTCCCACGCGAGCTTAACTCGCTTGATCAAGAGCTGAGCAAAACAGTATGTGAAGAGAAGCAAAGACTGCCAGAAGCCCTTCATTCCATCCTTTTCTATGCTGCAAGACTGAACACTTTTCCATGCCAGGTAAGATTTGCAGGAGAGCTCCACCTGACTTACCATCCTCACAGATCTTGCTGAAATGAGCAGTGTCCCTTTAGGTGAAGGATGTGAAATGAGTAACCATCCCTTTGGGAACACATCTGCAGTAAGTGGCATACCAAGCTGTGAAAGGCCAGCCCCATCTCTGTCAGGACTTCCATCTCTTCCCTCGTGCAGCTTCCCTTCAAGATGACCAATGGCACATTTCATCAGCAAAAAAGAGACAACAGCTCAGGAGAACAGGCAGTGTTAGGTCAGGTCGCTGTACTGAGATGCAAGGCATCCAGTCTGGCTAGAAACTCCCTCAGGCAAGGCATGTTTCAGTTTGCCAGACAAGGAAACAATCCCATTTTAGACACACAGGCACAGTGAAAAAAACCTACTCAAGCTGGTCAAACCAAAGGAGCTCAGAGATGCAAAGCAAGCAGTGACTTGATTTACCACTGGTCTGAGAACAGGGCTGTATTAGAGAATTCCCACTTGTATTACTTGTGTTATAGTGAAGCTTTCAGAGGGATGGGAGGAATTTTTTTTTGGTAGTTAACAGGTGCCAGTTTTAATTAAGGTTACCAAGTCTATTTGCAATTAGTTCATTTTTCATATATTCCAAGTACTGGAACAGTTCATATTCTTTCCAGGCTGGTTTTCCAGGCCTCCCTTCTCCTTGATGAATCTGGGGTTTTTTAGTAGCCAAAGAAAGGTCTTTTCAGCTACTTGAGTTATTCATCTCATACTTTCCATATACTCCCTACTCTTGATACACAAACACACCTTCCATAACTAAATTTCACCTACACCTAACACTACAGACTTTAAAACTCCTGTCAAAAGACAGGCTAAATTTGAAAGTTGAAAATTCTGCCTCAGCTTCAGATTAAATTAAATTAGGAGGATTAAAAAGATTGTTTGGACAGAAGAAATTTGGGATGCAAGCAGCTGAAATAGCTGAGTATGCTCAGTTGGCATTAATATTTTAGCTGTCTGTGCAGCCAAACATTTCCTGCTTACACCAAATAGGAAAGAGTCTGTTATGATAATGTCTGGTATAAAAGAGAGAGAAAAAAAGAAATAAGAAAGCAAGAAAAAATAAAAGAAGAATAGAATCTGTCTCATAGAAAAGATCCCTTTCCTACCTGTCCAAAACAGTAATATCAGAGGCCCACAATTTTTGACATGCATTTGGAGAAATTTCAGAACATCAAATGTAGACCTAGAATCCTAAGACCAGCACAGCTTTGACAGGAACAGAATAGCACAGGAAATCCCAAGACAACTGCAGTGCTTAAAAAAAGAAAAAAACCTCACTCTTCTGAGAACTGCTAAAGAACTAAACTTCAATTAGTAAAATAACAGAACACCAGATTCAACTGATTTATCAATCAGCTGGCAGCGCCAAAGAACTAACAGGCACAATTCCATGGGAGAGAAATGACTGGATGCTTCTCAAAAAACAAAACAAACAAAACAAACAAAAACAACAACAACAAAATGAAGGGAGCAAACAATTGTAACGTGCAGTAGAAAGGCTGATGTAGCACCACTTGGGCCACAGCCTGTTAATGACAAGGCAGTTCTACTTGTTAGAAAAAAGGGGTGCAAAGGAAAGCCCTGTGTGCAGGAACAGTATCAGAACAGGTACAAAACACAGCAGGCAAGTACCTCTGACTAGATTTACAGAAAGGGGAGACAGAATGGATTATATTTGAGTTGGAAGCAAGTGCATTACAGATAACATGAACTATAACACAGGATCAGACCAAAAAGTCCATTGAGCTCAGCATCCTCCAGCAGCCAGGGACACACAGCATAGGGGAGCGGGGCTGCAGGGGGGACAGCACTGCTGTAGGTTGGATGATTTATATTTTTCTCCCCTCCATCCTTCCAGTTTCCAGCAATGCATGGCTTAAGGACTTCCCAGATGCATCTGTGTACTTAATAGCTCTTAATGAGCTTTTCTAGCACAAATTTGTCTTACTGTTTGAGCCCATGGAAACGACTGGCATTCACAGCATTCTGTGGCAGGGAGTTCCACGCTGTAATTGCGTGCTGTGTCAAAAAGTGCTTCCTCTACAACCCACTAGCTGATGATTTTGATAATACCATCTCATTTGGTGAAGAAGACTATAATACTGAATGTTGTTTTCTTCAGTTTATGAGCATAATTGTACCCATGTGCTTCATAATGGGTAGGAAACCATATAATCAATAGGTCCTAAGTGAGGAAACAAATTATCTACCAGTATTTAAAAGACAAACTAGATGAACCAAAGTCATAAACTGACTAAATTACTTCTAACCTACTTTTAAAAAAGCAAGCTGAAGATCTGCTTAAACTCTGAAAGCATCTCTTTGATAAACAAAGTTAGGCTGATCAGCTTTAGAACAACATTCAGAAAAATGGGGAGAAATTTCAGGCAAAAGCCACTACATAATTTTTACAAAAATCAAATAACTTCACACCAATTTCATTTCTCCTGAGGTGGTTATTGACTTGGCTGATAGGTATAAGCATGAGATGTCATATACCCAGATTTTATGAAATGGCCTCAAAAAATGCACTCCCAGATGAATAAGGAAGCTATGCTGAGATGAAGTTACTGCAAGGTGCCTGTGTAATCTGTGATTCTCTCAGTTTAAGTGCCATAAAGAGGGAAAAAGGTGCCGTTCAGGTATGCAGAGCCCATCCTGGGATATATTAACCAGGGTGATGACATGACAGCACATCCTCATTGAGAACACGGAGTTCAGCTTCAGCTGCTGAACTTTGGAAAGGATGCAGCCAAGCTGGACCGGGTCCAGAGCAAAGCAGGGAGTGCTGAGAGTTTAGATGCACAGGATGGCTGAAATAATGGAGCATGTTTTATTTAAAACAGGGAAGAATGAATGGGTGGTGGGCAGAGGCAGCCCTGTGTGTAATTTAATATATAAAAAGCTGACCACCCTTATCACAGACAACAAATTTTCCCTACATGCACTGAAGGCGAGACAAGTGGAAGTTGGCTTTCACATGTCAGAAACTCTAATCCAAGTATTCCAGGAAAAGTAGTGGAGCACAAAGAAAACACTTTGGAAGTTCAGGAATGCCTATCAGTGTGGGTTAAAGAGCAGACTTGCCCACCTGCGGGAATAATCTTTATCTACCAGATCCTGCTTGGAAGCAGAATGATGCAGTTCCTGCATAGAGCACAAATTGCCTTCAGGATCTATATTCTCACTAGCACATTTTACAGCAAGGTCATTCCTTGCTAGGAGTCAGGCTCTTATTTTTCCAAGGCATACAGCTTCCAGGTCATACTAACATGAGTTTCAAGTGGATAAAGCATAGCACAGCTCTGTCCACACCCTGTAAGGAATGGGTTCCACCTGCCCCATTACAGCTGTATCCACACAACACATCAAATTCTTCTCATTTTTTGTGTATTGTTATTTGGCAAAGTACTTGAACATGCTGAAAGGTCTCGTAGTACAGCAAACCCTGTGGAGTATCAGTGTCAAGAGGGAAAACCACGTTCCTTTTATGAAGCAATCTTTCTTGGCACTTTCCCTTGACCATACCTGAAAGTGCATCTCAGCGTGACAGGATTCTGCACACTCAAATTGTGAGAGAACAGGGCAGCAGTGGGCTAACAGACACACAGTCTGTCCTCTTCCAAAAGCCCTGAAACCACACTGGAATCCCTGGACCCCTTCAGAGAGGCTGGGGCAAAGAGATAGTAACGTGGTGCACTTAGAAAGCCAGGTCTGGTGTATTTAAATTATCTGTACTGATCCAAAAAGGATAAAGGTCATAACAACTAACTTTTTGGCTAGAAGAGACATCATAACTACAAAATAACCAGGTCAGCCCTGAGTTAAATGCTGAGTGTGTGAAACAAGACACTGAACCAGCTCAGACTACTCAGAAGATACTTGTTCTTCATGTCTATGTAACCAAAATTCAAAATGTCACCTGTACAATACAAGTGACAAACCAGCTCCAGCGACTGGGTACCCAGTCTTGTTAGAGCCACAGAGGAACCTCGTCTGAAGAAATAACAAACAGAATAAGCAAAACATCTTTTTGGAATCATGGCCATCAGCCAGTTTAAGCCACTTGATTAGTGACCAAGTGAAACAGTCACTTGACCAAACTGTGGAGGTCACCACTGCCCCAAAAAGAGTGGTGGTGGCAGTAACTGAGGATCTGTCTAACTCAAAGGTGAAAATAAGATAAAATTAAAAACTCAGAGTGTGACCATTGAGAACAATGAGAACTCACTATCCTTCAAACCTATCACTCGGTAAGGCATGTCCAGATACAGAAAGTACTGAAGTAGCAGCAACAGATCCAAGGCACTGACACAGCTTATTATTAGTGCAGTTGCAATTAGCACAGTTCCCTTCAGGTACGACCAGCACCTCTGCCACGGTTTTCACAGGTAACACTATTGTCCCAGCATGCTATCCCCACCTAGAAACTAAAGTAGTTACTCATGGCTGAGAATAGATACCCAGTCCAATTACCAGAGGGAAGCACTGAAAGAGAAGGATTGGCTCTTAAGAAGTCAATCTGTGCCTATTCAGTCAATGGAACAAGACAAATTGCTTCAAAAAAAGCCAAGACCTAGTTTTACCTCTGAATTAAGTGTCCTTAAATTGCTGCAACCGTATTGCATGGTAAGTTAATTCTTATACCACATGTCAGGGAGTGTCATTCAAGAATGGGGTTTGGAAGCCAGAATTGCCAAGAACAGAGTGTTTTTGTTTACCCTCTCCCTTGGATAGTGCAACCGATTCCATGTATTGAGAGAAGGTACACTTCTCTCATGCTTTTGCCAAGCAGATGTATGGAAATCACCTTTGTCAAAAAGAAACCAGAACATACATGCAAATTCATGTCCTCATGTATAACAGCCTCTGTGGTTATAAACGTTGGTGTGAGATGAAAATATCAAGGCAAACATTCCTCCCGTCTAAAAACAGTGTCCATCTGCTGTGTTAGATATGGCAGCATAAATCCAGATCCAAACACCCATCATTTCTATGAAAATTATCCTGCAATCAAGGCAGGACATCAGCACCTTGCTTTTCATTTCAAAAAAAACGAATTTGGCTTGAAGGCCTGCAATTGCCCAAGATCAGCTGAAAGCACCATGGCCTAGGTAAAAAGCAGCTGAGAAATCCGGCAAAATTAAACTGATGTGACAACAGGGAAGAATCATGCACACAGAATTTTAAGACCTTTTCAGCACATGGCAATTGATGTCCATGTCCTAGTCATTCCTAAACTGACAACCAGTTCCACAGCAAGCAATGCCAGCACAGACATGGGATGCACAACCAGCCAAGAGCCAAACCAGCTCTGAGCAGTCAGTGTAGGCTCAGGCCAGTCCAAGTGTTTGTCCCCATTATCTCATCTCTGGGTTTGTTTGACTTCCACAGATGCAATACAAAGGTTATATTTAGTGACTAATGCAGTGTGACACTGAGAAGAGCTTGCTTTTTTATAATCAAGTAGGAAGAAACCCGCAGCAGTACAGGCCTGACATAAGAAGCACTGCTACCCTGTTCCTTTCCAAGGCCATTACAAAAAAACAAACAAAGCAAATCAAAATCGACCCTGACCTTCCTTGCTGTGTCTCTAGGTGAACAGACCCAGGAAAGTGATAAATGAAGAGGCAGATAAGTCTGTAGTTGCTTCTGTTTCAGGGCTATGAAGGTCTGGTGTGCCTGAAAATACACCCCTTCCTTTCTCAGAATTTGTGTAGTAAGAAATTATTTGTCTACACAAAGTTATCTATCCCCTTCTTCTCATTAGGCCACCAGAACTTCTGCATCTTCTGAACTTTTATAACAAAACTACAGAGGCAAGAAGTTAACGTCTCTGGGAGCATGTTCCAGCAATTAGGCAGAAAAGGCAGAATTTCCTTAATATTCAGTTCAACACAGACCCCTTTTCAAACTCAGAAAGTGAAATTCTGCCTATATTGAAGAGAGTTTGCACTTCTCAACCTATTATTCCACACATGCTAGCTGTCATCCTTATTGGACATGCCACTGCTGGAAGAACAACCACAGAAGGGGACCTGTGGCACCAGAATTAACTTGTCAGTACAGCTCCACTTTCTCCATGCACAGACTCAAACAAGACAAACTAAAGGCTCTTGAAACAACTTCCGCTAACACACAGGTCTGATGGGAATTGCCTAAATCTGCAGCCAACTTTTACTCCATCTATAAATTAGTGCATTACAGAGCAGGAAGGGATTCCAATTCCAGCTGATGCATCATCATATGGGTTATCACATGGCAAGACCCAGCTGGATTAAGGGAATCTACGTCATTTTCTGACACAGCAGACCCAGGATGAGACTGTACAAACAGACTGATTTAGACATAGCATTGCTATTCAATACTGATTTTGTCAAATGTCTAGCCTCGTGCCTGCTTACTGCAGCTAAGAATAAATCCCATGGAAACATGATTGGCTACTAGTGTGATAACCTGGGAACCTAATGTTAAGAGTAATGAACAAAATTAACTTGTAATTCTGCATAAAATGAAGCTGTAATTCTTTAACAAAGTACCATTCAGACTGTAATTCTCTAAGTTTCAACCAGTTTTCATGTAATAAACAACATACACTAACTACCTGAGTCCAAACGGTGTACTTGGCTCTTGACCTCCCCCCACCCTGACCCTTCACAAATGTGTTCTAGAGCAGATCAGAAACAGTTAAGGAACTAAATTTCATAATACTTGTTTTGTGTTTTAACCAGCAACACAAGCTGAAGGATACAGCATCATATTAACAGAGCTGTATTTTCAGTAGAAACAACCAAGAGGGAACAGCTTTAGAGTTACCTCCAGCTGCCAAAAAGCTCACAAAGTAGCACAAAACCACTGAGCATTTCTGAGATAAACAGAGGTGCCAACCTGCCAACTTATTTTCTCCACTTACTCTTCTACACAGAAAACTACTACATTAAAAGGCAGCTGGCAGGGAGGGCAGAGGGAAAGAGGTGGAAAGCCTAAATCCATGTTTAAGGCAAGACAGAGATTTAGATTTCCATTTAGGGAAGGCATGTTTACCAGAGTGCTCTTTCCCCAATTAAAAATGGATGCTTTTCAAATGGTTAGGATGATAAAAAAAAAAATCTGGAAGGAACCATACCTGCTTTCTAGGCTTAGCCTGTCACAGTACAAAGACTACTGTTGAGTTCAGTGCCTGATTCACCCTGCTAATTGGGAAAAATGCAGAAGTGCATCCTACTCCCTCAGTTACTCACACACAATTTAAATGGCCACACACTCATACTCACTGATGTGAAGACAGCTTTGTTTGTGGTGATGCATTTGTTACTCATCTAATTAAGGTGGAATAAGTCGAGACCTTTATTCACGAGTGTCAACAAAGAGCTTAAGCAAAAAACAGTGTGTAGAACCAACACTATGCTTAAGTTGCTTTACAAGCTACTTAACAAAGCAAGGGCAGAGCTGTGCACCAAACTGTGCCCCAGTGAGGGTGATTGCACCGAGCAGCCCAGTGTAATGCCTGCTCCTTACCACCATTCCCGGCTCTCAGGGAGGAAGGGCTGGAGAGGAGCACCCTCCAAGCTCTCAGAGACAATCAGACCAGAATAACAAGCTCTTTTAACAAAGTACAGAAGTCATTTCTGGCCTTTGAGTTAAACAACCAAGACCACAAGCAACCACTCAGGACTAGAAAAGGGAAAAATCACTCTTGATAAAACAAAAATCCTGTGATGTGAACAGAGCTTCTAATGTAATCTGTACCACCAAGCACAGGGCTCATTAAACACTTACCAAGGCAAGATTTCTGCACCTGGCTTGGCTGCCACGATTCTCCACACTGCCAGCCCTCTCCACGCTCCCATGTGCGTGCTCTGGAGAGATTTGGGAGGCCATTTCAGGAGAATCCGAGAGGAGATTTCTAGGCATCACACTTCCTTGGCTTATCAGTCCCGATGTAGCACAGAAAGCCATCGGCGTGTTACGTGGGGCTGGTGGCTTTGTTCATGTCTGGAAACAGAGAACAGTGTGGTACATTTAAATCTGCTTGTTAAAATACTCGAGAAGGAACAGAAAATAAGTGGTAAAGAAAGACCCCACACAAGTTAATAAAGTTTAATGCTCTGGAGCACATCTACCACTTACGGGCACCTTTTTAAAAAATGGTTTTATTCAAAAGGGTGACTTTGAAAAATCCATAGAAGGGAAAAAAGGATAGAAAGAAAGGTTCTGTACCCCCTCTTGTGTGCTTCCAAACCAGATGTATATAGGTAGCTCCAAGCACAGACCCTGCATACATCTTTCTATAGATTCAGTTTGTGTTTTCCAGTCTGACAGATCATTAACAGTAATAAAATCCCATTGGCTGAGATATCAATTGGCCCAGCTCAAGTAGCTTTATTAGCTTTTACACAAGAATTCTATTTATTGGATCACACAAGGGAAACAGAACCAACTTCATTTCCTAAGACTGCAGCAGATAACTCACATGTTACTGAAGCAGCTCTATGCCACCTACATCTGGTGAAAGATCCACGAGCAGAACTTGGTGCCACTTTTGCACCAACGCGTTACAAATTGCATTTTAAAGCTTAAAGAGCTTTTATTTCACTCAGCCATGAAGAAACAGTACTTGTACATTTGGAAGACACTTACTGGAACAGACAAATGCACCAGTACTCACTGGAGCAAAAGCCCCCAGTTTTTTAAGCTATCCCAGTGCCCAGTTCTGTAATACCGCTCTGAATTGTCGTCATCTCCCAAAACACTCTGGTAGAACTTTTTCCTCTACTCTCAAGGACACAAAGACAAAAGTCATCTCAGTGCACTAACAGCATGAAGAGGGGGTAGGCAAAAAGTAGAACCCAGCTCATTTCTCGCTCCAATACATTAAGACATCCTTTGCAACAAGAAATGGTCTTGTTTTTTAGCAGTCCATCTTTTCCCCCGCCCTGCCTGTGACCCGTGAACAGCAGTGACACGTTCCTCAAAACAGCTGGTACCACGTTATAGGCAGCCAGCTGGGAACTGGATCCCATTCCCCCGACACTGCACAAGGAAATGAGATGGTCCTGCTTCCCAAGTGCTTCTCCCTTTATTATGGTTCGAGAGGCGACATGAGAAGCAGAGTCAAGCCTGCATTTCCAATTCAATCGGATTACTCCTCCTGGCTCCCCACCGCTGTGGGCTGAGGGCTGGGAAACCAGAGCCTTCTGGTAAGCTGATTAGTGTTTCATAGCAGTGAGATAACATCTGCCAACACTGAGCAACAATTCCATCCCGCTGATCGCCTCCTCCCAGGAGAGGGCTATGACATTACCAGAGGTGCGTCGCCTACGCCGCAGCACCGACGTGTGTCCTGTGGGAAAGCTCCCACACAATGTAGCTAGGCTGCAGTCCAGCCAGTCTTGGAAGCACATCCACAATCCAGAGCGCTGGATTGCCACAACAAAAGTATCGGGTCGCTTTTCTTAGGAACATTAGGTCTAATGATCAAGAGTTAGCCATGCTTTTACACAAAAGGAACATTCTTCCTTCCCTCTATTAATAACATCAGCTATAAATAGATACAAAGCACCCTCATGATGGGCTTTAAGTGATGACACAGCGGTAGAAACATGCTCGTGGTCCTGGTTTTCAGATCTGCAGGACAGAGAGACACGGGAGCACTGAGGCAGCTGCTGCACCTCTGGCTGCTGCATACCCAGGCAGAAGGATAAATGGGAAAAGAGCAGCCCAAGCCTAGAACACATTCTGCAACAGCAGCTCCATCTACAACAAACCCTGTGGTGCTGAACAGCCACACACAAACACACCCACAGAAGAAAACACGTCATTTTTAGAAGCCAACATTATCAGTGAAAATCTTGACCCCTCTGAAATCCTACACAAACACACACAAATATATATAATTTTTAGAAGGGAAGACTATCAGAAGAAATCTAGACACCTCTGAAATTCACAGAGAACTCCCACTGACTTCAGATTTCATCCTATGACTTTCAAGGTGATGTTCAGATGGAAAAGGAGCGAGTACTCCTACTGACATCCACCATAAGGCAAACATTATTTATTTCTCATCAGCACTTTTAAGCTGCAGCACCCATTTTTATCCAAGTGTCCCCCATATAAACTGAACATACCATGTTTGTTCAGTCCCTCAGTGATGTTATAGACTACTAGATTTCTAGATTTATACTCAAAGCTGTGAACATTTTATAGACCACATTATGAGAGGTCATAGCTGCAGATTACAATAGATATCATAGACAAGATCCACATTTAAAGACCAACCACATGAAGATATTAATCCAAGTTACTAAGAAACCAGTCAACAGGCCCAAATTTTGAGGGAGAAGTATTTAAGAGTATTGTTCTTTTTCCAACAGCAAGACGTTGTATAAGCAGGACCGAGTTTCATGCTGGGCTATCTGCATCCAGGACAGCAGGAACACCCACGTTCAGTAATAATAAACTGTAAAGCCACAAGTTCTAAATAACAACGAATAACTCTGCTCCCAGCAAGCTCCCATTATTCATCCTGGAGCTCCAGCTCAGATGTTTCATGAAGGTCCTGCACAATAACTAAAGGCAGGGAGAGCGACTGGTTCAGAGAGCTGCCCACACAATCAGGAATTATGGCACCAGTCCTGCTTTTGTGTTGGAAGCTGTGGCTTCTTTGGGGGTTTTACTCATTTCAGAAGAGCTTGGGAACAGTGCAATAGCCCATGAGCCTGCAGAAAGGGTGTGGGGGAAGATCTTTTTTCCTTTTTATCTCTCATATCATCTTCAACACTTCAAGGGTATGTGTCATTAAGATCATAACCCATTCATATACATTATTTCTTTTTCTCTTTCCGTTTTTTTTTTTTTTTTTTTTTTTTTTTTTTTTTTTTTTTTTTTTTTTTTTTTTTTTTTTTTTTTTTTTTTTTTTTTTTTTGTGCTTTGAGAAACTCCTACACCTTTGTACTCCAGCACAGCTCGAGCTGACGTGAGGCTGACTGGCACTGCTGCAATGCATACAGCATTTGCTTTACAGACAAATTCCCCTCCTAACCATTCCTAACACTGAAGTCCCTTGGCCCTTTTTATGTCCCCTGTTATTATGTGAACGACTTTATATATTTAAGACAGAAACACTCAAGAATCTAATGAGTTTCCAGACCCCACTGCCTGTTTCAGGAGGATTGCCAAGGAAACAAGAAAGGGTTCAAAACTAAGGTAACTGTGCTCAGAGAGAGCAGGAACAGCAGGATGACAGGCGGCTGTTCCTCCTGACCTTCGGAGATGCATTAAATATGAAAGCTGGTCGCAGTGGGATTTGTTGTTCAGTCATTGTAGTGAGGATTTTTTTAGCTTGGTTTAAGAGATGTGTGCCTGTACCACTAGGGATTAATAATAAAAAAATACCAGACCGTGACAGGAGTGCAGAAGTGTGACAGGAACAATGCTATTTGGAGAGATGATCCCAAATATTAAACCAAAAAGATATCTTAGGGCAGATGTGATTTTATCAGCCGAAGTAATTACTTCTTGCTTACACTGGAGGTAGCCTTCATGAGATATTTAAAACAATAAAAGTCACATATCACGCATGTTTGTCAGAGGAAATCAGGAGGAAATTGAAAGATTCTGAAGTTAGTGCTGAATTTCACCTCCAAAGATTTAATTTTGCTTTGACACAGGCACATAATTCAAACAGAATGTATTAAGTTGCCATCAAAGATAAGGTGAGGTCTGTCCTTCCAAAAAGGATATTTTTATAGTTTTGCTGAAAGATCACTCCTTTGCTGAAGCTCACTGTTAGCATTTACAAGGGACTGTTTCTATAGTAGCAAGAGATTGAAAAAATTGTTTATTAACTATCCTGTTTGAAGACGAGCTTCATAGGCAAAGAGATCAATCCCACAAAAGTGCAAGACATTTAGATGCTAAAAAAAAAAAAAAAAAAAATATCAACTGCTACATAAGCCAAGAGCCAGCAGAGAGCATCATGCCATTAACTGCAAAATAGATTTAAGGTGAGTTGACAAAATTTACAAAATTATCATACATTTTTAAAAGGGCACAAGGCCAGTCTGTCCCCTTCACCACATACACAATTTCTAGAACACTCTTTGCATTAAATGTTTCTCAAGACAGGTTTCTAAGCCTCAACCATACTCTGAGCATCACATACACCTTGCCTGTCCTTAAGCAGCTGTTCCTTAGTGATACAACTGAAACAGAGGAACTGGCCAGTGAACTTCAAGGTTGGTTTGATGTGCCAGCTGTAAACAGACACAGCAATGCCACACTCAGCTCTGTGCACACTGTCACTCACCTTGCACTCTGTGGTGCTGGTGGAGTTTGGAGAGTTAAGCATCTGGAAAAAACATCTGGAAATACTCTGTGGTCATCTGATGTATTAACATGGGATGTTTATAAAACTGATGGTACAGGGCCAGACTAGAGACCTGTATCTCTATCAGGCTCTGACAGTTGGCAGCAGAGCACGTAAAACAAGGCAAAGGAGAGCAGGAATTCATTCAGATTCCTGCGTGTTGTGGTCAGGAGACCACAGGGCTTCCCAAAACAGGCCAGGTATTTGTGTCTAATAACCTCATGAATTTTTCCTTGTATTAAGTGCTCCTGCAACATACCTTTGAACCTGCTGTACAAGACCAGGGCTAAACAAAACGAGCTGGTCCATGACATGTCTTCACTGAGCCACTGCTGTTCCAAACTCCTCAAAACTAACTGATGGTTAATTATGGTTATGGTGGACACATTTCCTCCTTCAGAGCTATCAGCAACTGAATTCTTCCTACCTTCCTCAGTATATGAAATGCAGAGTAAATCCTCGAGCTGTAGAGGTAACCCACGTCCTACTCTTGTGATATATAATATTTAAGCTTTCTAGTAGAAGAACAGACTAAGCAACAGTACTGCCTACAAAGGCCAAACCTCACAAACTCCAGGAGCATAAAGGATAGCCAAAGAGGTTTTGCTGAGCGCATGAAACCCAGAATCAGAGAGTAAATTTGTTCCTATAGAAAGAGTCAAAACAACACTTAAGTAACAATTGACATCACTTGATGTTTAGGAACCAGGGTTGTCCAGCATGGTTAAATTCTGACTTTTCTTCTCCATATCATAAGTGTGGAAGCTTATGATAACGTGCTATTTTACTATGATTCACATTTTATCTCCTCATGAAAAATCCTATCTGCCTGAAACAGTCATGGCCATTTAACATCCAGTAACCAGGAAATGTTCCTGCCCTTGTTTAGAGAGGGAATGCCATCACAGCATGGTCAGACAAACAGAAATGCTGACCATTAATAAAAAAAGAAAAAAATACACACACACAGAGACTATGACAGTATGGTCCTCTAAATGAAAGCCAGGCCAACAGCATTTTTATAGACACTTCCTTAGACATCAGTGCTGATTGATATTTTCAGAATAGGTGACAAGTCAGATGGAAAAATGTTTAGCCAAGTATGAACTCAAGGTGCTCTCGTGGCAGCCCATGACAAAACACGCAACTACTTCCAAAGGAATTGGAGTGATAACAACCACATAAGACTCCCAGAATTCAATGCATGCAACACTGATATTTTGTTTTAAACTTTCTGGTTTCTGTGGCGCGCTTGTGACAATTCAAACTTTCCTCTTCAGGCTGGAGAGCTACAAAATCCGTTAGTTTTAAAGCTAAAAACAAAGATTCTCTCAGTCCTCTAAATCTGGAAGCTGGAGCCTCAAGAAACACACTGAATGTCATTCATAAAACTTGCGCTAGAATTTGAGAGAGCTGCCAACAGTGAAATAATTAATCCTGTGTACACAGGTTTTTAAAAGAACTAGACGGGCAAGGCACCAATTCAGTAAAACTTAAATCTGACTTCACCGGGACATTTCATCACATGCTTAAATGGTTCGGAGAATTGGATCTCAAATTAGATGTAGCAACCACTTAAAAAGAAAGGAAACAATCACAAACCAACATTTTCATTGCCCAAGTAATAATTCAATTACTTCACTGAATTCTCCAAATCATGCTTTGCTCAGAAACAATGCCTAAGGTCACACCTTTGACCACCTTAATCCAAGCCTCAAGACATCAGAAAAATAGGATTCCATACCATGCTGCATTCTTAACTGGTCTTTCTAGATTTTCAAGAACAGCTTTTTTACTTTTTTTTGAAACCCTATGTTTTAGAAACTTTGTTACCTGCTGAAGACAACCAAGCTAGCACAAGAGCCTAGATCATCAGTACCTCATCCTTCTCTCTGCAGCGTTTGGGAAACGCTGCTTCTTTTAAAGCAGACAGTGGAATACCAATGCAGGATTTGATGATGCTAAGAGTGCTGGTCCACCCTCAAGACAATTCATCTGGGGAAAAAAAGCAACTGTGAAGCATGTTTTCACATGTCTTTGCCTTTTCCCTTGTAAGTAAACTCTGTTCTCAATTTACTGCATCCCCACAGCTTCACTGAATCCTGTTGCCCAAAGCAAAGGCCAGTGGCAAAGGTTCATATACAGCATTGTGGATTAAACCACCAAAGATCCCTGAAGTGCTCACATTTCCCACACCAACAGAATCCCTTCCTGCCCCAAGTAAAAATAAAACTACAGCCAGTGACAAGTAGTTACCTTTCCTCAGGTTAAGGTCTGACCCAAGGACAACCCTAAGGCTCTCACTGGTCCTTTCCAGCTGAGATTTGATGACCAGTAGCTGCTCAGTGGGAGAAGTGCATGTGATACCCAGAGCTGTCTAGTCCGGTATCGTGCAGGGCTTTAAACACATCCAGGTGATGGTTGAGCTCTCCCCCGACTTCAAATGCCCTTATGCAAATTTCAACAAGGAAAGCTCCCATTCTTTTAAAGTTACTCCTTTCAAATCTCCCCTGTTAACATCAGGGTGGTGCTATCTGCGACAGCCAACACTTTAGAGACACCAAGTGTACATAAACAATTTCAGGCAGAGACGCCTCTGTAATTAGCCAACTTCTGTCTTGCTACAGGTGCAGCATCGCTGGGGTTTAGGGTTTCATTATGTAACTACTGCTACAGTCATAGCAATGGTGAGCCAAATCCTGTTTTACAGAGCATTTAAGACAGCAAGATAATTTTCAGCCCCAGTATGGTTGTGTCACTGTCACAGCTGGATTTTAGGCTGCTTTCTTATGTTGTTTTTTTTTTTTTTTGTGACTGCTGTGCTGGTATAAGAAGGAAGGCAGACGTCATCTGAAGCACAAAGCAGAGGTGTTTACTTTAAAAATCAACTCATGTATGGACATTTCATTCCTATGTAAGTACATAAAGGTCTGCCTGCCCAAAATAAACAGAGCTGAAAAAAGCAATGGCAAAACAGAGCAGTAAAGTCTTGCCCTGGACTTTACTTGGTACAGGTTTAATCCATGCAGACCCAGTTGAAAAGGATATATTTAAGCAGTTAGTTATACTGGAAATTAAAATTACTTGCTTTTATTTTTTAATTAAAAAAAAAAAACAAAAAAACAGAGGAGGGAGGACTTGGTAACAGTAACAGCCTGTCTAGCTGGCTTTGAAAGCCACATTCATATGCTCATTTATTTTCATGCTCCAGTATTTTAGAAGGTCAGTCAGCCTGAGACTTGTCAACTGCTCAGGAGTTAAGTTGTTCCAGTTACTATATCCAACCGGCAACCCCTCTGCCAACATTCTTGGTTAATATTTCTCTCAGAGGCACACAGAAAAAAACCAGCTATGACTAGCAGAGGAGAGGAGTTTTACTACTGACAAAACAGAGACACAATATAGAATCTCCCTGTTCCTTTCCAATGCCAGGCATTACTTGCACTTCTAGTCATAAAACTTCATTTTACTCATTCACTTTCCGTAGTAAAGCCCCCAAACAAATCCTTGATAAGAAAGACACTGCTGAAAAATCTATTCCATTTCTGAGAAATAATTAATATCTTCACTTCCTGGAAATCCAAGCGAGCAACACTTTTTCCCCCCTTTTACTGTTTAAACACCAGCTCCCCCCTTATACAACAGTAATTACTGCAAAGGAAGGAGAAAAACCACAATCATTATTCTTTAAAGTAGTACCTGTACAAGGAAGTCCATCTGCAATGCTGCATTAGTCAAGGATCTGTGGCAAAGTCTTAAAATAATACCTTTTTATTAGCCTAAGCCAGAAATTGCAAAAGCTTTTAAAGCTAAGACTTAGGCTTAAGGGTTTGGAAAAAAGTCTTTTCCTTCTATGCCTTTCATAAAAGGAAGGGGAAAGGAAATAGCTGTTACATATCTGATACTTGTTATGGTTTAAAGTACTTGCAAAATCTTTGGAAAGATAAGACAGCCTCCCCCAAATCTCTTTCCCATTTCATCTGCATGCTTGTTACCGCAGGAATCATCTCCTGCTACACCCATGCACAGGACCAAGCACAACAGAGCTCCACTTCCAGCAACCTCCTCTCGCTGCCACACTAAAACAAAAACTATTCAGGAAACATGCCCTTGAGATCCTGGATTACTGAAAATCCCGAGAGTGTTTTTAAGGCTGTGCTTTCTCTTTGCACATACTAGACCTCGCCCGAACCACCTAAGATTAAGATCTTAAGGAGCACCAGCCATCTCATGCTTACCACCTCCAGATGGAAAAAGCACCTGACAGGGGAAGGGAGGGGGGAAAAAAGTATTTTGAACTAGAATCTGCTACTGTTTACACCAACATCTTTTCCAATGGTAACGTGTAATTGCAGAGAGTCAGAAAGCCAAGAGGAGGCACAAGGCAGGTGCTTCCCATCACCCTCAGTCCGTCAGGTACACCACACATCCAAAGTTTAACAGCGAACGGGTACAAAACCTTTACTTAAACATATTTTCTTTAAGCTGCCAATTAGCACAAGCAAATTGTTTTTAAGTTATCACAGGGAAGAACAAGAAACCCGTGGCGGGGGGTTGGGGGGAATTCTTAACAGCTCAGCGGTGGGAAACCAAGCCTCACACAGAGCAGGGAGCAGTTCGCTGAACCAAAACTAATCCAAGCCCAAAGCTGCTCTCCGGGGCTGTCCCCGGTGCCTTTCCCCGCTCCCTTGGTCTCTGTCCCCGGTCCCACCCAGAGCCCGCACGGAGCAGCGCACGGAGCACCCGCCGCCCCGAACGCCGCTGCTCTGAGAACAGGAGGGAAGGATAATTAAAAATCCATTAGTGAGTAATAAGAGCAACGCCGAACCATTCCCCCGTCGCGGGCTGAGAGGGGCGCGGAGCTCCGCGGCCTCCCCCCGAGGGGACACCGAGCCGGGGGCAGGCGGAGCGGGGAGAGATCGCCAGCGGATCCCAGTCCCGAGGGGAGACAAGCGCGGGAGCCGGGGACGGGAGTAGGGAGGGAGGGAAGATCCGCTGAGCCGGGGGCTCCGGCGAAGCGAGGGGAGCTCCCTGAGGGGGGGCGGCACTCACCGGCGGCGGGGCCCGCGCCGCTCCCGGCGAAGGGCGAGCAGGTGCCGGGGCTCGGCCGAGCAGCCGCCCCGCTCTCCTGCGCACTGCGCCGGCCGCCACCCACGGCGGGCGGATAAAGCGGCCGGGCGGTGCCTCAGCCCGGCCCGGGGTGGGAGCGACGCCCGCCGCGGCCCCGCCTCGCCCGGGCGGCCCCGCCGCCTTTGTCCCGGCGCTCGGGGCAGGGCGTGAGGGAGCGATTCCGCCCTCCGGAGGGGGCGGCGGGCGCTGCGCGGCGTGAGGGGCTGCGCTGCCACAGCACCCCCCAGAGCGCTGCCCGAGGGGACCCCGGTGTGCGACACATACGGAGGCGATCAGGGCTCTGGAGCATCTCTCTTACGGGAAAAGGCTGGGGGAGCTCGGCCTGATCGGCCTCGAGAAGAGGCGACTGAGAGACCTCATTAATGTATATAAGTACGTAAAGGGTGGGTGGCAAGAGGATGGATCCAGGCTCTGCTTGTTGGTGCCCAGCCCAGCCAAGCAACTGGCAGAAACTGATGCCCAGAAAGTTCCACCTGAACATGATGAAGAACCTCTTTATTGTGTAAGTGACGGTGCACTGGAACAGGTTGCCCAGAGGGGGTGTGGAGTCTCCCTCACTGCAGATATTCGAGAACCGTCTGGTCACAATCCTGTGCCATGTGCTCTGGAATGATCCTTCTTGAGGTTGAACCACATGACCCACTGTGCTCCTTTCCAACCTGACGCATTCTGTGATTCTTTGCCCCCCTGTGAGGGAGGAGAGCTGGGCACCGTGGTGGGTGCAGTGCGGGGGACAGTGACACCTTTGGCTCTCTCAGAGAACCCTGAGGTAAAACCCTGCCCAGCCCCAGTCATGCCCAGAAAAGTTGTTGCTGTTCCATCCCTTGAAGTGTTTAAGGCCAGGTTGGATGGGGCTTGGAGCAACCTGGTCTAGTGGAAGGTGTCCCTGCCCATAGCAGGGGGGTTGGAATGAGATGAACTTCAAGGTCCCCTTCCAGCCCAAACCATTTTATGATTCTATGAGGACAAATTGTGTTGGAGCTGGTGTCTGAGGCATTTGTCCCTCTGCTAAGGGAAGCTACTGGGAAATGATGAGGGTAAGAGGTGGTAGAAAATGACTGTCCCAACCACCTGAGCCTGTGTCCTCAATGGGAAAAAGAGGTTTGTGTGCCTTGTTAATCTGTGCCACCCATATATTTAACAGCTCAATAACAAATATCACATACTTGTACTCTTATTTATTGCTAATATATCATCATACTCACAGGTATTTATCAGGTGATGGTGTTCTCTCCCTCCTTCATTGTGCAAGGCCCTAGCAGCCATCAAATTAACAGTTTGACTTATGCTGTTAAAATTTCAAGCTGCTCTCAGAAATCATTGTTGTTCATCCACGCTGTTGTGGCTGAAATATTCATACTCAAAGTATGGAAGATGGAGATGTTTCAAAAAGATGCAATTCTATCCAAAATAAATGGCGTAACAGGACTGGGAAGAGAGAGCAGTGCAATGTGGGGCAGCGAGGGCGGGACAAGATTAGACTACCCCCAATCTGTAGCTTTCTCTTGAGCATTCTCCAGAGATACAGGAGCAGTGTCCAGGAAGAAAATGAATGACTGAGATTCCAAAAAGAGATTTAACTTGGGTAATTTTTGGTTATGTTAAAGCTGATGTCTAATCTAAGCTGTTTGGTCATACTACAGCCAAGAGAGAGAGATTATTTCCACGGGCTTAAGAGGGGTTGGACAAATCATGTTGTGAGGAAACACATCTCCAGTGGCTGTAGAGTGGTGAAGCCCGACCAGAATTTTACATGTCTCTCTGGACTGGAGGGCCAGTTTAGAGCTTGCTAATGTTAGCCTAAATGAATCCCACCTCTGTCTTTTATTCTTGGCTCTGCCAACAACTTGGTACAGGATCATATGACTGTTCCATGTAACACCTGTCACACAACAGCACGGGAGAGGAAAGTGCCTTATTTCATCAAGGAGCAAAATGGGAGTGGTGTCTACTGCATATAGATAGCATGGACACCCTGGTTAAGGACAGCTGTTCTGGAAACATTTAATTGAAGAATATACTGAAAGGCAAGCAGGTACTTTACCGATTTCCAGTGTGGAAACATCAATACACAGATGCAAAGGGCTTTGAGATTCAACAGTGTAGAATGTTAGATAACTTCAGTGTATTATTTTGCTAACTCACCCTGCCTGAGCTACAGCTCTCCTTGCTAAGTAGGACATCACCTTGAGGAAGATACTAGACTTCTAGGGTTTTGTCAGCTCTACAGTGTTATTTTCTTTATTTCTTCATTTGCTCTCATCACCTTGTAATATCAGGTGTAGGCCCCCATTAAAAATGTGGTCTGTTGACATTTTTCTCCCCAGGTGCGTCCAAAAGAGTTTTTTGTCCTTTTGATCATCAATAGTGTGTTTTTTTTCTTCTTTCCTCGTTCCTCAACATTACTGATAATCCCAGTACTAACTTTATTCTAGGAGAGCAACTGTGTGTTGACACATTCTGTCCTGAAGGTGGGGAAATTTATGGAGCACAGTTCCAAGTACACAGCCCATTACTATGTATTATAGAGAACTTGCCTCCTCTGCTCTGGTGAAAACTCGTTATACCAGTTTAAAAATATGTGAGGTATGCATCTCCTTCCCCTAACATTAATCATTAATTAACATGTGATACTGACATTTCTGGTTGCCACTTAATGTAGCAAAACAGTATTTTGTGTGTGTTTCCAGTTTCTTCTATCTCACTCCAACATCAGTGGAGTCTGACACATCCAGCTGTCAGTGTCAGCACAGTCCTGTCTGTGGGAAGCCCATTCTGCAGCCCCTCTGGAAATGCTGCCCAACCCAGAGCCACGAGAACAGGCCCGTGTTTGCAAAACTCCTCTTGCCAATCCGACTCCTTTCCCTTGTGTTACAGGCCAAAATTCAAGTTTCTTCTCACAGAATGTGCTTATTGTATTTACTACTGCAAATAGCTGAGAATAGACACACTGAACTAAGCAACTGTGAGCAAAGAGGATCTTATTCACCTGGTTTGGACTTCACGAATAGTTTTCATTTTGATTTTTTTTTTTTTTTCTCTGTATGTGGCCTGGGTTTGGTAAGAATTGGTAGAACTGAGAACTCAGAAAGAAAACACAGACTGATGGAAAGCTATCTGTTATTGACTTGCCTTTCAGTAGGCTTTGAAATCCCCACAGTTAAAATTCAGTGTCCCTCGTGCAAGGCAGTGTGTGTAAAGTAAAAGAATAATCCTGTTTTAGAAAGCTGGTAGTTTACAGTTTGAACACAAGGCAACAGAGAGACAAAAGAGGTAATAAATATGCACTGAGATATGAGATAAGTGTGAAAGAAACAGGGTTTAGCCAAAGTAAAGGTTGGGTTACATTTACAGTCATTATGGTTGTCTTAGTGTTGTGATGAACACGGTATCATCACGACTTGTTATTTGGATAAGAGCAGCCATAGGAAACCTCCAGACAAGACTGTGGCTTGTTGTACAAAGTCCTGTCCCTACAGCAGGTAGTGCACAGTCACTGTTATTGTTTGCAGACAGTAATCCCACACGAGATGTGCTTCATGACTGATTCATACACCTTTGCCTCGTGATTGACCGTGTCCTTTTTTTTGGCAGGGCACTCACAGCCAGAGCCAAAGGGAGGCTTTGGTGTCACAGCACTCCTTGCTTTTCAGTGCCCAGCTGGCAGAAGGAATTTCCAAGCAGTGCGATAAACTTACAGGAACCAAAACTTTGGGGTTTGCCTGTGACTCAGCAGCAGGCAGATATCCCAGCCCAGATGTCACTGCTGCCTCTCTCGTGCCAACTCAGTGGCTTTTATTTTGTGGCCATTCAGGTTTGTGTAGATTAAAACAAACAAGGCAAGATTGAAAGCTCCCTCCCCGAGTTTGCTGGTGACACTAAACTGGGCGGTGAGGTGGATGTGTCAGAAGTGACAGCCACCTTACAGAGACACCTGGATGGGCTGGAGTAGTGGGATAGCAAAAACTGTATGAAGTTTAACACAGACAAGTGCAAGGTCCTGCTTCTGGGACAACATAACCCAATAATCCATTAGGGGCCAGGCCACACTTGGAGTACTGTGTTCAGTCCTGGTCTCTGCCATTCAGGTAAGGCACAGACAGACTGGAGAGGGTCCAGAGGAGGGCCACCAAGATCATCAAAGGTCTGGAGAATCCGCCCTCTGAGGAAACACAGAAGGAGTTAGGTCTGTTCTCCCTGGAGAAGACTTTGGGTGAACCTCATCCCAGCATTCCAGTACTTAAAGGGCTGCTGTAAAGAGGGTGGATGCTCTGTCTTCACAAGGAGCCACATGGAGTAGGCAAGTGGCAATGGGTACAGGTTGCTCCAGGAGAAGTTTAATCTTTATGTAAGAAACACATTTTTTATGGTGAGAACAGTCACTCACTGGAACGACCTTCCAGGGAACTGGGTAGAGCTGGAGGTTTTCAAGATGTGACTGGGCAGGGTGCTGGATAATCTCACCTAGGCTCCCTTCCATCCTGGGCTGTTCTATGATCCTATGAACATTTTTGGAAGGAGCTTATATCTTTTCTTTGCCCAGATGTTTTTGCATTTGGTCTACAGTATCATGGGACAAAACCAAAACTTAGGTCGAGGAAGTCAGATAAAGCTGCAGAGAGCAACTTCCATTCCTCCCCTGGGTGATGAGGGTACATCTGTGGAAAGAGAGATGAGTTTGAACAGAGACAATGGATTCTCCCAGATGGATGCTTCCTAGACAAGCACTTGAGATACCATCACTTGCTGTAAAAAATGGCTGAGATAGGATCTGTGGAGAGCAGAGACAGTCTGTATCTGGTACTCTCTAGGAATGCCTTTAGCATTTAGTCCTATTTGTGATTAAGCCAGAAGAATATCTGATTTCCAGGTTACATTATAAATTAATTGAGAAATAGCCCTGAAGCTGCTGTGGGCAGTGCCGTTCTGTCCCAGTATAGAAGCAGAGCTGGAGGCATTGAGAGCTGTGGTTATTAACTTCTCTCCAGCCAGCCTTCACAGTCTTCCTTTTGCCCTCTGGATACACAGATTCACTGCTGCCCCCTTCTCTCTTATCTCCTGCCTGCACTGC